ATGTGGGACCATGGAGGTTGGTGCATTTTTTCCCTGGCATGTGTCCTCTCTGGGACCCACAGTGTGAGTAGGAATCTCTTGCAGAATGGGCTACCCCAGGGCTCATTGTTGTAGCTGTATGGATTGTAAGGGGTGGATGAGTCCATCTGAGGCCTGGCCCTTTCCTGAAAGTCCATACAGGCATGTGTTGTATGCTTGCACAGGTGAGTGAATATCTCATGTTGGACAGTAATCAAGAAATGGCAATTAACAGGGAACCGTTGTTTTGCAGATGTATCCGAAAACTCTCTACAAGAGAAGCCCAGATTTCTTTGCATGAAAATGGCTTTCTCTCATGGGAAGTGTTTAGGACTGAGGGAAAGTGAGCTCTGGCCTTTGCTTCTATCAGAGGCACAAGGAGCTTTGGGAGGCTACACTCTCTGCCTTCCAAGATTAAGGTCATGGCAAGGGAGAGACCAACCTGTCCCTGTCCTTCAGCCAGAGAAGGAACAGCTGCAGGGAACATGCTTCCCCACCCCTGCAAAAAGAAAAACTCCAAAAGCTCCAATTTTTGTCTTGTCTCCAGTTTCTCCTGGAACTGCAGGTGCAAACAGGGCAGATATTCTAGGCTGCCTTTTGTATTATTTTAATGTGTTGCAAGTCACCTCATAGATAATTTAGACTATTTTTCTATTGCAGTTTTCCATTGCCCTTTCTGCCATCCGAAAGAGGGAACATTTCATACTGTAACTGCAAAAATGACTGTCCACGTTTTCTGTAAAAAAAAGACTTTAGTTCTTGAAACGCCCACCGAGAATGCCAACTGTCTCTCAGGGAGACAAGTCATTGCTTCAGAGTTTTCCCCTCAGCTGCTTTGTGTGGTCTGAGAAAGGTCAATAGAAAGGCAGAACACGCAGCCACAAAATTCTGCGTTCTTTTCATATCTTTCTTCCACACACATTTAATAGACCGAGCATATTTTTCTCAGGGAAGGCGGGCGGGGGGGGGGGGGGGAGAATGAATGACAACATGTACAGAGTAAATCCCCATTGTCCTATGTGGAGGAGGAAGGTATTTGAGCAGACATTTTCAGCTGTGAATGGAATACGATTTGCATAAATCATAAATGGAGCAGAGCTATTGTTGTTTCTATATCGCACAGCCTATATTTGATGACTTTTTAAAACACACACACACACATACGTTGGTTTAAGACCAGAGTCAATGCTATCTCATGTTGGCTCCAGCGCCACAAAGTTGGGAAACTGGAAGCCAAGGATGATGCCATAACAGGTTATGGTGATCATACACAGGGCCCCCCGGACATTTGACGGTCTATTGACCCTGTGCCGCCACTGCGATTGCTTTTTCCGCTGCCACCACCCCGTATCTCACAGGGACACACGGAGTCCAGTCAGTTGTTAACATAAACAAACAATCAAGTTTATTTTTAAATGCAGGAACAAGCTTATGGTTTCAGTTAATTTTTCTCTTGTCAGTTTCTTATTCTTAGTTCCTAACAACTCCAAACTGATTATTCCAACTATCTATCTGACTCCACCTAACAATTCCTCTCACTCTCTCACAATACAACTCTACCAACCCACACCTACACCTCCCTCTTCCTTCTTCAACTCGTAAACCTCAACTCTCAACTCCCAAACCAAACTGACTTTCAAAACCTCCCACTCTAACTTTTATTCCCCCCTTGCATTTTCACTGGCCAATCACATCACACCTATTTTAACCCTTTCCTTATGACCCATCCTAGGAGGCAAACGCCACACAGGTGTACTCAGAGATCAGCAATGGTGTTGTGCAATGTCATAAAGTATGCTTGCTTACAACTTACCCTCCATGCACTCACACTTTTGCTTGGTCTTTCAGGCCTAGATCTAGATGGGGTTGGGGTTGGGGATGAAGGACCTGGGGCCAGCAAAGATACCCAGTGCTGTTCTGGTCCTATATTGCCTTATGAAGCCTGTGAGCCTTACTGCATCACTAGAGGAATCCTCCTTTGTGTTGACCCATGCCTGTTTGCTGCTTACATCAGTAGCTGGCAATATGGGTTAAACAGTGGGAGATGGGGAGGTGTGGCCTCCCCGGATGTAGTGCCTCTTTAACTTTCTCTCTATCAAAGTATCATTTCAGAAGATGAGATGCCCTCTTATTTCCCCTCCTGCAAAATCTATGGGAAATTATTGTTGCATGGTCTGTAAATACCAGACATTATAAAACTTTCCTAAGCAACTGGGCTATTATTATCAAGGTAAATCAATGCCGAACTTGCATATCACATTTTGATACCGTGGCAATTGCAGATTTAAAAGGCACATCTGGAATAGTTAATTGTGCAAAGTTCACAGGCATGCATTCACCCGTTGTTAATAAACCATTTATTGAAGCAGCTCTTATGGGTTTGTCTACTTTTTATTAGCTACTAGAAAATGCCCATAATTCTGATGGGGGAGTGGGTTCAGAAGGAAGGTTCAAGAGGAGGAGGTAGGCGGAAAGGCAGGCAGACAGGCAGACTGGCAGACTGGCAGACAGACAGACAGACAGACAGACAGACACAGACACATCCACACAAGCACAACCACGCATTCTAGGTGAAGCCCATGGTGACTGTGGCTTTGCATATTTCACTGGTAGCACTGCACCTTTTGAAAGGGCTGCTGCTTTATATTGCATAACTTATTTTATTGCCCTCTTTTCACATGAATGGTTTTTAAAATTGGAAATGCTGATTTGTAAGCTGCCTTAAATTTTATGAGTATAAATGCATCCATTAATTATTGCGGGGACCCCAGAGTGGCACAATGCCCCTCCGTGTGGTGTGCCACATAATTCTACCCCTGCCTGCCCACACATCTTCAATGAAAATTGGCATCACCTAGTCTTAGGGAACAATTTCCTTCCAGGGCAACAATGTCCACACAGTTCAGGATGGCTATCCCAGCTTGTTGTCTCCACTGCTAGGCAGGCAGTTGTGCTGGGCAGAGCTTAGTTTAAAAATAAAAAAGGATGACTTGCTGAAATCAGACAGGCTTGCCAAGAAGCTGGAGGATATGGTTGTGCTGAGAGTTCAAGGATTTGTGGTTGACTATATGTGACAGATACACACAGACATGGGCTCTGGGGAATCACCACATCATGCAATGGAGGCACAGATAGGGGTTATGAGGTCTAATATCTCAGACTGAGTCAAGCCATATATGCCTCCAGAAGCATTTGAGTCTTGTGCAGCCCCATCCTTTGCCTGTATACTCAGAAACGAGTCCCAGAGCATAGTACACAGTACATAGGATTGCATTATAAGTCTGCAATCCTATGCATGTATGCTCAGAAGTCCATCCCATTGAGCTCAGTGTGGTTTGTATCCAATAAGCAAGTTTAGAATTGCAGCCTTAGGATCTTTGAAAGGCAAAGATCAGGCAAAGCAAAAAGGAGCAGTCATGTTGGCAGAGTTGATGATCTGCATACATGCTAAACAGAGAAATTATTTAGGTCAAATTCCATGATGTTACCAAATTACGTTAATATAAGGCTTCGTGTAATGATATCTTAAAACAAAGTCCCGCTTCTCAAAATTTGCAATCAGTAGAATATCGATCTAGCAATCGCTGCAGAGAAATCTCAAAGCCTCGACCAATGTTTACACATCCCATTCCTGAGGTTCAGAGCTATTTTCAGGAAATACCAACTCTTATTAGCCCTTAGGGAATGTTGGAACCTGATTAGTTGTTGTTGGCCTAGACCTAGGAGAGGAGGCAAGCAAGAGGTCTGCACTCAATAATATTCATGGAAGAAATGTTGGCATCAAGAGAAAGCATTACATCTGGAGGGAGTCAAAGGAGCTAAGAGGAATTAAATGCAGTTAGCACCAAGGGGTTGATTTGAACAAATTTGATTTTTTTTTTCTGGAAGGGGATGTGAAATACAAATGTGTTTGAATCAGTTGCAATCAAACATATGCAAATTTACTGAAACACTCCCTTAAAAATACAAAACTATTTAAAGACATCGTTGACATCAGCTGGATTTATTTTTATTTTCATTTCTCACGACGCAGAGATAGCCAGGTTTCTTCATACCACACAAAAACTAGCATTTACTGGAGCTGTTATCTACAATTCCCTAATGCTGACCTACTTACATTTAAATTGGGCTACAGGGCTAACACGGCACTATCCACAAACTACTTGTCAGCTTCCCCCCACCCCAGAGCTAAGGGCAACTGCTGTGCCTCTCCTAGAGCTGGAATCGAACCCAAATCAATCAACCCAAACCCAGTTATGTCAAAGTTGATCAAATTCCTTTGCTCATGAACAGATTGTCAGTTTGCAGCCCAATCCTAAATACTTTTATTCAGAGGTGTGCCCTCCTTGAGTTCAGCAGAACTTACTTCCAGGTAAGGATACTGAGCGTTGTAGCAGCTGTCCTTTCACGTTAAAATCACACTGGCACCACTGAGAGCTGCATTCTCTCTGTACAGTGCTACCTCGGGTTACATACGCTTCAGGTTACAGACTCCACTAACCCAGAAATATTACCTCGGGTTAAGAACTTTGCTTCAGGACGAGAACAGAAATTGTGCAGCAGCAGCGCAGCAGCAGCAGGAGGCCCCATTAGCTAAAGTGGTGCTTCAGGTTAAGAACAGTTTCAGGTTAAAAACAGACCTCCAGAACAAATTGAGTTCTTAACCCGAGGTACCACTGTATTCTGAAAAGCCATTTGACCATGTGACTAAAAAATGCCTGCAGACACACACCATCTTTTAAGGCTGAAATCCTGTAACCATTTAACCTGGGATGAAGCCTCACTGAACTCAGCGGGTTGTACCCAATGTAGCACTAAGTCCACTTAGTGACCTATTTGTTACACTGGCAGAATGTTGTTGCACAATGAAAAGCACATAGTGGCACAATGGATTTCACAGCGAGATTTCACAGATGTTGCGTAATAATAATAATAATGATAATTTTATTATTTATACCCCGCCCATCAGGCTGAGTAATCTAGTCCGATCTTTTAACTGTCTTTGACAGTTGCCTGGAAGTCCTGAATCAAAAACTTCCTACAACAGAGGTTTCCCTTATTTCAGCCAGGTAACTTGGTCCACGGTCTCCTGTTCCTGCAAAAGGAAATGTCGATAATTGGCCGTTGGGGTGCAATCCTGTACACATTGTATCTGGGAATATAAGCCCCCACAAGAATTTAGGGCTTACATCGGAGTGCCCTGAGCTGCACGAAGGGTAGCTGCAATTTGTATTTTTTAGCCATTTCTGTCTTGAAAGGTAAGCGCCTTTGAAACAGCCCTGTTCAGAGGCCGGCCTTGGAACTCACGACGGTAGGATTCCATTCCGACCCCGAGAGGGCGCTCTATAGCTTTAGGCGTGAACCTCGGAGCCGGGGAAGCGAGGGTCACAGAGTTGGAGTGAGTCCTAGAACGGGAGCCCCTTGCTTCCTGCGGATCGCTTCCGCCCTCGAGCCGTGGCCTGAGTTCCGGTTCCGCGTGAGTTGTGCGCGCGCGTGCGCTTTCGGCTGCAGGAGGGTCTGGTGGAAGGTTTGCCTTGCGCGGGCGGCGGGGCTCTCGAGGCAGCGCGGGGGGGGGCGGAGGGCGGGGTGTGCGGCCTTCCCTTTTCTCTCCACGCGCTTCTCCATAGGACGTGGACGGGGCTGCTAGCAAGAGCTTAGCCTTACTAAATAGTCAGGGTGTGCCGGACCAGGACCTGGGTTCGAATTCCGCACTCGGCCATTATGCTCACCTGGGGTGGCCCTAGCGGGGCCGGACGCTACCTCTCTCAGCCCAGCCTAAACTACCTCGCAGGGTTGTCGTGGGGATTGGGTGAGAAGGGGGAGAGCCATGCATGCCACTTCGAATTCCTTGTTGGAGAAAAGGGGTATAAATGCAGTAAATTAATATTATCGCCTCCCCCCCCCCGCCGCCAAAATAGTATTTTCTTCATTGCATTACTCCTACAGTTAACAGTACACGGAAGTTTACTTCACAGGGGTGACCATTTGGACTTTCAGCAAGACTGCCTTGCCTCTGGTAGATTGATTAGTGGCAGCATGTAGATCTTCTGCTCTTGTGGGTAAGAATGTAAAAAGATTGGGCCCAGTGGCCCATCTGGTCCAACATCCTGTTCTCGCAGTGGCCAGCAAGATGCCTGTGGGAAACCTGCAAACCAGACCTGAGCACAGGAGCACTCCTATGGTTTCCAGCAGCTGGGACTCAGAAGCATTACTGCCTGGGATGGTGAAGGTGAAATCTTTATTGGAACATGTATTTATGTATGGGTCTGTCTGCTTTACTTGATTTTGGGTGCAGTGATGACTTACCTGAAAGAGCGCCATTAAGGGAGCTAAAAAGGAAATACAACATGGAGTCAGTGATGACTCTCTCTGGAATAAAGGTTTTAAGAAGGGGACTTGAGAAAATGCAGCAGAGTAGGTGGGAAGTCCCATGGCTCCAGATAACAGGGAGATTGTAGAAATTGAGTACTTGGAAAGTAAAGGGAGTTGGGTGGTGTGGCTGGGAATTGGGTCGTACCACTTGCTCCACCTTTCTGTCTTTGGTCTTCTGGCAGAAGCCAAATTTTAGGGGAAGTAAGAGGTTTTGAACTAGCTAGAAGATACTTAGAGGGTAAAAATCCAGTTGAGAAAGCAAGACAATGGGAATTATGTATGCAAGTAATTCTTAAATTATAATATTCAATATTTGATATTCATTGGAGAAATGATAACCTATTATGGGAAGGACCAAGCTACTTTTGATGGATCCAGATTACATAAAGTGCTTCCCTCTCAGACGAATCCTGTCACTCAGGTGGACCCAAATATACTTTAGAACAGGCTTCCTCAACCTCGGCCCTTCAGATGTTTTGAGACTACAATTCCCATCATCTCTGACCACTGGTCCTGCTAGTTGGGGATCATGGGAGTTGTAGGCCAAAAACACCTGGAGGGCCGAGATTGAGGAAGCCTGTTTTAGAATACTGAGTGAGTGGGCCCTTCACCCTTGGTAATGGAAAGGAAACAATCTGTATACTGTACTTTTTATTATTGGTGCTTTAATTCCTAAAAGGTAAATATTTTTGCCAATGTTCATGCTTTTCTCATACTGCAACTTTTTTTATATGTAGTAGTGGAACCATCCCCAAGATAAAAGCTATTTATATTTGGACAAGTTGACTACCATTTTGGAAGTACTGCGTTTTTTCCCCCCTTGAGGTAAGACATTTGTTGTGAAAACACACCAAAATGAGTATTTGCTGCTTGGTATAAAGCCCATGGGCTGGGAAATGGTTGCTGCGTAGCTGGGCCTGCTGTGGTCCTGCCTTGTACCAGCTAGCCTGACCTTGCCCTAGATGAAAACCTGGCAGCCTTCTTTTTGGGGTCTGCCCTGTGCAGTAACAGGTGTGAGCATTCTAGCAGCAGCTTGATGGTCATGTATGATACTGCATACAGATCTGTTGCGACATGCAGAGAAAACCCAGACTGCATTCTGTTCTGTCAAGTGTCTAATTAAGGGTGGAGGCAAAACTGAGTAACTGCTGGATTTTATATTCCCAAAAATTGCGGGAGGGAGGAGACAGGCAGCCATTATGTGTTCATCCATCTCAGCAGCCTTTGGTTCAACCTGAAACTTGCATAGTGCCTGACATAACATCATTTGAATGTCTGCTACCTCCTCCCATATTCCATCTAAAGATTGTAATGTAGATTCCATGGCTTCACGATCTGCAAACTTTTTCTTACTTTCCCTTTCCCCCCTACCCACTTTATCATGTAGCCCAGGGATAGACAACATGGTGTTCTCCAGATGTGTCGGAGCCAGCCGTTACAAATGGCGAAGTTTTGCATAAAATAAAGACACAGAGAGCCAGCAATATTTTCATGATGGTAGGAGCAGCTCCTTTTTCCACTTCCCTCTCCTCCTGCAGCTACTTTTATTATCCTTTGTCTCTCTCTCCAGCCGCATGGCTGTTTGCCAATGTCTCACGTTACCTCATCCGGTCAAGGCTTTTATTGCCCCCTTCACCATATAGGGTCAATCACTGCCCAGAGGAAACACAACTGCATTTAAGTCAATACATTCCAATACATTGTAAAGCTCAGAGTGCTGGTCAGCCGAGGTCAGGGGGCACCCTGCAATATTACAAGCCTTTACCGTGGCTTTATGACTCCCACACAGATGCTGTTCTGACCATCAGCTCACATCATTCCTGGCCTTTGGCCATGCTGGTTGGCACTGATGGGAGTTGGGAGTCCAACAACATCTGCAGGGCATCAGCTTGGTTATCTATGATCTGTAGACCAGGGTTCGGCAACCTAAAGCCCATGGGCCGGAAGCAGCCCACGGTGGCCTTTTAACCGGCCCACGAACCACCCCTGAACTGAGCCGCCTGCTCAGCGAGTCCCCACGCACTGCGCTAAACCAGTGGCGCAGGGACACCAATAAATTAAATTAAAGGACATAGACATACTGCTTGTGGTTTCTAACTTAGTCTCTAACTTCCACATTCTACTTGGTCCTGGGTGTGTGCCATTGATTTGTCACACTGTTTAAATTCTGTAGCTGTTTAAATTGTTATAGGGCCACCATTGCTAGATATGGTGTGTCTGAAAGATGCAAGCAACCATCCTGTGATATGAAGTCTGTTTGTTTCCTGACAATTCTTGATACCAGGGTGGGCCCTTTTAAAATTCCAAGAATCGTCATGCTAAATAGCGAAGCAGAGTTCTAATATGCCTGTAGCTGATCTATTAACCATTTCATTTAAAAGTTTAGAAACATCTTCTTGTACAATGAACTTTGATCATATTAAAAATGACACCATGACAGTGACTATCAAATATTTCTTGTAGGTACTGATGGACCAAAAACAGTACAGAAAAGGATTCTCATAGGTAAGTATGACTTATTTGAGATCTACCTTAGAGGCATGCAGGGGGACCTGTTGCGTATTAGGCCATATGCCAGAGATGCAAATTGTATATTTCTATTGTACAGTAGGCCTTGGAGAGGGAAAAAGATTGACTAGGGACACCAGATCTCATTTGTGCATTGTCACCTGCCTTATTGGTCCCTCTGTGTGTTCTTGTTTTTATTAATTAGCAAGCCATTGTGCCTCTCATCAGTGGAAGCTCAGTGCTTGAAATATGCCTGCTTTAATAATTTGTCCTAATATTCCATACTTAGCAGAAGCCACTGTCCCTGTCATTTTGAAACATGATTTGGATTGTCTTCTTACTTACATTTCAAAATAAACTTGGTGTAACTTAAAGAGTAAATCAGCCAGCAGCAAATACGTTTTGAGTATACAGAATAGGTGTTGGGATTATCGCCTCATTTAAGGTTGCTGATTAATTCTCACAATGGGGAATTGCTGCAACTGCTTGGTGGGCAGCAGTTCACCAGGTAAGGCGTCTGGAGGCCTGAAAACAGAGATAGGGAAGGCTTCAGTGCCTGACTATCTGGGGTGCTCATTGGACTGGGACCAACTGATGGAATAATAAAAACCTGTCAGTACAAGTATTCCAAGCCTGAACATGAGAACTGCAACTATTGGCATGCTTTCCAAGTTGCTTTCTGGCCTCAAGGGGAGAAAATTGTGTTCTTTTGTGTTGCTAAACTGGGCCTTCATCTCCTGTAGGCATGGAGTAGCTTGAGCTCTGCACTCTGTTATTCCACAGGTAGCGTATTAGTTTTGGTTACCTTTGTTCATGGAGTGCTAAACTATCAGGCCACCTTGGCACAGGGAGCCCTTGTGTGCAGTTTTGGAACTCCTCTGTAAAGGTGGCCGACATCATTCCCTCAAAGTTGCAACACTTAGGATCTGTCCCAAGAGTGTCTTTGAACTTTAAAAGCTGTACTCAGGCATCTCATTCTCTGTACTTAAGTCTCATACCAGGCTGGGGAGCTTTAGGTTCAGAGTGGTATTCAACTACATTTTACTCAGAGTAGACTAACCTGGTCGTGTTCATTTCAACGAGTAAAACTTAGTTGAACACAACTCTTAAATCCTCACCAAACCATGAAGCTCACTGAGTAATCTTGGGCTATTTGCCATCTCCCCTTAATTCACTATATACATGTGATGAATCATTGTTTTGGGCTTGTAAATTTCCAGCTATTAGGCAAGCATGGATCTGGGACATATTCAGAAATGCAGAGGATTGTGAGTAACTCCTTCTGTTACTCACAAATAAAACACTGGCAAATAAAGAGAATCTCCGGTTTTAATTCGGAAATAAGTGGATCTCTTCTATTGGAAATTATGGGGAAACACTAGCTTCTGATTTTATATGTGAAGCTTCTGGCTTGACTTTTCCTTGCCATAATGACCGTTATAACTTTTACATTCCAGGTAAGTGCTGTTGGAAGAGCAGTGCTCAGGTTCTGCAGAGGAAAGGGTTGTCAAAATTCTGCTTTGTTCTCGTGTGTCATTCTGGTTTGTGTAAAGTCACTTCATTAAAATCAGATGTTCTATCCTAACTGTGGCTTGAGTGTTAATGTCCTGCAGAAGGCACCCTTCTCAAAATATTTATTTTTGTCTACCTGTTGCTAAAGAGAAATGCTCCTATCTTCATTATCCCTGCCTGTATCCACTTTGTGATGTGGCATCTATCTGCATTCTCAAATTATTCTGGCTGTTGCATCCCTTTCTACCACTAGAGGGCGAAGAATTATACAAAATGACGGCTTATGTCTCCCTGGTGTCTCTTCTGGTGCAAACAAAAGGCTGCAATTACATTCCAGGAATTGTTGTCATAATAGATTACACAAGGGTGCTAGATGTTCTGTGGTGGTTGATTGGTTGGTTTTTTTTATTACAGTACTGAGCTTTTAGCAACCTACTTTAGAAAGCCTGGAAGAGCATCCCTTTAGAAGCTTCCAGCAATGCACTCTGCACAAATTCTCTGCATTGTGCATATATGAGCACATACATTGCTGTTTAATTCAAACTTCTGCTTGAGATCTGAAGTTATGAGAGCGGGAATGGGGGAGAAGGAGACAGAGGGGCAAGATGTGCATAAGGGTAATAAAATGCTGTTTTGTTATACCAACTTGTATCCACACACCCCTATAGTTCTTGTGCTGCTGCATTATTTTAACGCTTTCTCCACAACTGAGAGATCTAGAAGCGCACCTTATAAAGGCTTAGTTCCTCAGGATTGCAGAAAGCCCCAAACTTCAGACAATGAGTTTACAATCTTCTTTTACAGAGCCATCATGCTCTGTAGCATATATGTGACGTTCATGAGTATGTGGCAATGGTTTCAGAATATGAAACTATTATTATTTATTCAATTTATATACCACCCTTTATCAAAAGATCCCCAGGCAGTGTACATTAAAAACAAGAGTCTTGTGTGCATACATAACCTAAAGATGCACATTCTGCCAATAGTTTTCTTTTATTATTATTACTAAAGATTTTGTTGATTTACAAAAGTGTGCAATGTCTCTCGTGTTTTTCCCCCCCATGTAACATTTTTACAAATCAGTTGCATTTGTTGAGACATTAGGAAGAAAGGGGGTCAGGTGGCGATGTTTCTATTTTACTTACTATATGTAGGGTTTGGTGTCAGTGTTGCTTGTGCAGGTTCTTTGCTGTTCGCTTGTGTTCCTTTGGTGGTGAGAGAGGTTGGGGTTGGCCTAGGGTGTGGTTATTCATTTGTGGTTGGCTGTGGTGGTCTTTGTTTTCATGTGTGAGTGGGGTGGGTGGGTGTTTTGGATCAGGTTAGCCATATTGATTTGTATGCTGTTGGTGGATTTTTGTCATTGTCTTGTTGGGCTGTGTATGTGATAAAGGGGGGCCATACTGGGGTGAAGGTGTCTTCTTCTATTTGTCCCCGTGTCAGTTTCTGTTAATTGGTTAATTTTTCTAGTAGGGCTGTTTCCCATACTATTTGGTACCGTTGGTCCATGCTTACTCCTGACAGGTCTCTCCAGTGTCTGGCTATGATGTTTCTGGCTGATGAAAGTAGGTAGGTTATGAGTTCTTTGTGGTATAAGTGGGCATTCTTGTATTCTGCCAATAGTTTTATTTGCTGGAAAGAGAATGGCTCAAGTGCATCTTCTCACTTAATATACTTGCACTTTGCTTGATAGATATTCTATTCATGGCTCATCAGCTGTGGCCCCCACCCTAAAATTTGTAGCCACACTTAAACAAGCACAAAACTGCAAAAGTGGGGGTAATGCTACTAGAGCATTACAAAAGCAAATTCCTTTGAATGACCTTTGGCAGAGGAAGGGATTGCGGAGAAGCAAGGCAATTAAAGGAGGGGGGCCAGGTCATGGGAAGCTGCAGAAAAAGTCATTTGGGCTTTGGCACAATTTCATGTTTTCTACAATGGAGAGGTCTATAAACATAAATACTTCTGAATAAGTTATTGTGTGCTAAGCTCAGTTAATATGTCCCTGTGCTTGGCAATCCTGTTCACAGACTTCTGCAATGGGTCATCAGCTTGAGCTGTCAACATAGCCTAGTGTGTTGCACTTCATACTTGTGTAACCTTTATCCTGATCTGTAAATGCCATGTTGGGTCAGCAGGAGAAAATATCTGGCGTCTCTAGAAAGAAGAGTATTGGCTGATGGTAAGCGAGTCCTTAAGCTTTCTTAATTAAGCTAAACAGCTGGAATTGGGAAGGGCTCCTATTACATAATCTCTCCATATGTTGTAATGGTCATTCTGGCATAAACTGTTGGGAGTGGGTGTAGCTCGCCTGAGCTAATCACATTTTCCCCCCTGTTGATAAAACAAATGTTGGCTGTGTTGAACACATTTGCGCCAAGGATCCTGTTCCTTAGGGCCATTCACAAACTTTGTTTTGAGGTCTTAAGTGAGCCTTGTCTGCCTGCATTAACTTCTAATCCAGCCAGGAAGTAGGAATTCTTGTAACTTAAAAGGTGATTCACATTTGAAGTTGGGAGTATAACTGGAGCAGCTATATGGCTTCTGCCTAACCAAAGACTACATGGACGTGGGGAAGAACCTTATTAGCCTTGCCTAAGTGGTTCCTGTGTGCACATCTAACTGAGTAGTGAGGAGAAGCAGCAGATGCCATCAAAAGAACGGTGGCTCCCATAACACTGCAAGAAAGTGGATCTTTGGTTGGCAAAAGGCAGGTCCCATTATCCCAGACTATTGGTCATGCTAGCAGGGGCTGATAGGAGCTTGCATCCAACAGTGTCTAGATGGTACCTTGTTGGCTGCAGTTGACCTGCTCACTAGGTTTTTGTAGCTGTGCTATGTTAGTAAGCCAAGTGGTGACTGCTGAGTAAGAAAAGGGAAATTAGGGTCTTTTCACTCATTCAGATAAGGGGAAACAAGACAATGGACCTTATATTTATTTTGATTCCCCCCACCCCGGCTGCCTTTCCAGGGCCGAAAAGCCTCCTCAAGGTGGTTTACAGAAATAGGACAAAACAACTTTTAAATGTGTGGTTTTAAAAACTAAGATGGCAGCATGAAATGGTTCAAAGCCAAACCAGCCAACCACAAGAAAGAAAGATGAAATACAGTGGTACCTCAGGTTACACACGCTTCAGGTTACAGACTCCGCTAACCCAGAAATATTACCTCGGGTTAAGAACTTTGCTTCAGGATGAGAGCAGAAATCGTGCTCCCGCGGTGCGGTGGCAGCAGGAGGCCCCATTAGCTAAAGTGGTGCTTCAGGTTCAGAACAGTTTCAGGTTAAGAACGGACCTCCGGAACGAATTAAGTACATAACCAGAGGTACCAGTGTAGTATCAGCAGCAGCTGAAAAATCCAAGCTGATGTCAATTCATTAAAAGCACATTGGAAGGTCCTGGTTTAAAATGGCTAAATAGGCAGACAAAACAGATGCCCTGTGTGAGTGAGTTCAACAACAGGGCCACCACTGAACCAGCCTTGCAATCTGATTGACCTTAGCAATGGATCTGTGAGCAGAGCCCCGGTAGCTGCTCTTGGGACCCAGCCAGGCTCATCTGAGTACGCGCAGTGTCAAAGGATGGTTCTTGATCTGCTTTAAGAAAAGCAAGCTGTCTTTGTTGTGTAAGATTTTGTTCCAATGCAACAGACTGCCGGGGGGGCACATCTGACAATACCTGTTATTTAACCGTTTTTATGACCTGTTGCTGTAAAGTTAAATAGCAGCTTTAAGCAAAGAATGCATCCATTATATAGCCTTTAGCTGAAAACGTCTGGGCTCAGTTCATGTGAACAGGTAATTTCAATGCTCAACCTTCTTGTTTTTTAAAAGTAGATTGACTGCATCACTCTGCCAAAATGTGTTGCAAAAGGAAAGGGTGAGGTGAGTTAAAGGTTATATGTGGCTTGGAGAGCTGTAACTTTCCTTTTTGATGGAACGACAGTGCTTAAAGGCCAGCCATTTTGCTTTACAAGTGTAAGAGCAACCTGACTGTTGGGCTCCTTTTACTTTAGCATTCTTTCTCTCTTAAAATGGCTAGTTTGTCATACGTAGGCATCACTACCAAGAACCCTAAGAGGGCTCAGTTTCTCATCTAGCCTTCCCCAAACTGCTATCCTTCAGATGTTGCTAGACTACAACTCCCATCATTGCCGACCATTGGCCATGCTGGCTCAGACTGATGGGAGCTGGAGACCAACAACATCAGGATGGTGCCATGTTGAAGAAGATTAGTTCAGTTGATTCATTCTGCACCTCTAGTGCTCAACCTTGTAATTCATAAGACCAATCTGGCCTATGACAATGCTGCGGAAAATGTCTCTCCAAGCCCCATCTCCTTCTTTGGTCTGGTAAGGATGTGAGGCAATGCCGGGGAATGCAATATATGCAGGTGATAATGTCATCTACCTATGCGGAGGTATTAATCTGAATAGGGATACAGTGGTATTCATAGGAAAATCTGGGCCTCTATTGCAGCCACAACATAGCAGCAGCCTGTTTCTTTTGCTTCCCTGCCCAAACATGTGCATCAACGGGTAGGGAGTCTTTCGGACATCAAGGTCACCTTTTAGAGAGCCTCAGGTCATTGACATGTGGAGCAACAGGTTGCACAGTACAACAATCTTCCCTGTTATCTCATAGGTGTTCTATAGCAGGGTACATTCCATCCATGGAAAAGCCAAAGGTTTCTATTTGCAGGTGCAAATCCCCATTTCTCCAGACATGCAGGAGGCATTATCACCCTTCAGTGACACACTCCAGGCTGCCACAAAACAGGGTTGGCAAGGTCAAAGCCTAGGGAGAGTCTCAAGGGCCGGACAGAATCCTAGAGGGACACATTTGGTTCCCAGGACTGAGTGAACCCCCAGTGTACAATGCTCATGCTCTTTTGCACTTAGGTTTTTGTGTGGATGAAGGGTAGGGGTGGGCTTACAAAGAACTTAAAATTTCCATTGTCAGTGTAGTACAGAATTATTCCCGTATAGTGGCTGAGCCTGAGTAACTTGACAAACCTGTAATCCATTGAACCAAGTCCACTGTTTACGTGTCCATACCGCAGATTGGTTTGGGCACTACAACAGTCCCATGTTTGCATTTGGAATGGAAGCTGGTTTGCAGGAAAGGCATCAAATGAGTTTCAAGAAACTACAGGATACAGATAAACTCTGGCAAACA